CCTGAATAAAACTTGGTCTTAAAGGTGCCACTGAACTGTTTTGGACGGGGGGACGGCCTCTGCAGCATACTTGGCTGCTTCTTGCTCCTCGTCGCCTGACTGAGGGCTGCAGGGGCCGGGGCTTGTTGCATGTGCCCGCCCCCTGGGCTCCTTACTGCCGGAGCTCCGCTCCTGTGCACTCCCACAGGAGATTACCCCTGGTTAACACACACATAGACACTTTGCAGAGTTGTTCTGAGGAAGGAGGCAGGCTAATTCTGCTTTGGCAGCTGCTGACCGCACTTGTGCACGATTGCAAAGTGGTCTAACCTTGACAATGGCGGGGCCTCATTTGGAATACTGTGGTACAGTGCTGGTCACTGGGTCTCAAAAAAGAGATCGTAGCATTGGGAACGGTGCAGAAAAGGGCTACTGAAGTGATGAAGGGGATGGAACACCTTCTCTACGAAGAACGGTTAAAGAGGTTGGGGCTCTTTAGCTTGCAGAAACGAGAATTGAAGAGTGACGTGACAGAGATTTATATAATTACGCATGAGAGTGAGAAGGTAGAGAAAGAAGTCTTTTTCTCCCTTTCTCACAATACGAGAACTCGTGGGCACTCGGTGAAATTAAGGAGCAGTAAGCTTATAACAGGAGCTGCGGTGGCTCAAGTGGTTCAGACGCTGAACTGCAGGCTGTGGAAGGTCGGTAGTTCAGCAGTTCGAGACCCGAGTGTGCCGCATGACGGAGTGAGCTCCCGTCTCTAGTTCCAGCTCCTGCCAACCTAGCAGTATGAAAGCAAGAAATGGCAAGTAGATAAATAGGTGCCACTTCGGTGGGAAGGGAACAGCGTTCCGTGCGCCTCGGTGTTTAGTCATGCCGGCCACATGACCACGGAAATGTTTTCGGACAGCGCTGGCTCTTCGGCTTGGAAACGGAGATGAGCACCGCAATCCTAGAGTCGGATTCGACTGGCTTTTGAGCAAGGGAACCTTTACCTTTCCCTTTAAGCTTAGAACAGGAAGTACTTCTTCCCCCAAAGAGTAATTGACATTTGGAATTCACTGCCACGGGAAGTGGTGTCATCTACAGGCATAAACAGCTTGAGGAGGGGACTGGATAAACATATGGAGCAGAGGTCCTTCAGTGGCTATTAGCCACAAGGTTTAGAGGGAACACTGTCTGGGGCAGTGATGCTCTGTCCTCTTGTTGCTTGGGGGGCCACAGTGGGAGGGTTTCTGGAGTTCTGGCCCCTCTGGTCGACCTACTGATGTCACCTGGGTTTTGGCCAGTGTGTGACACAGAGTGTCGGACTGGAGGGGCCACTGGCCAGATCCAACATTGGCTTCTCTTATATTCCTAAATTCCTAATAATGACCTCGGACTGGAGGGGCCACTGGCCTGATCCAACATTGGCTTCTCTTATATTCCTAAGTTCCTAATAATGACCACAGCAATAGGCATGAGTCAGGAGGAGACAGGAGTTGGATTTGCCTCTTTATCTGGTGAGCTGGCATTTACGCTTCGTAACCTGTCTCTTTGTCCTCCTGTTGCAGAAAGCTCCGGGCCACACTGGACGAATACACCACCCGTGTGGGGCAGCAGGCCATCGTCCTGTGCATCTCGCCCTCCAAACCCAACCCGGTTTTTAAAGTATTTGGGGCAGCACCTCTGGAGAACGTGGTAAGTGTCTTGCAACCCCACCGTTGTAATAATTTATTCTCCTGCTATTAAATCTGAGCTCGTCTGTTGCCCACGTCTGTCCAGTTCCCCTGTGCACATCTCCCAACTCAGAAATGAGAGGCCCCAGGGCCAAAATGCCTTAAGCTGTAAAAAGTAGAAGAAGAGAAGAGGTTGGATTTATACCCCATCCTTCACTACCCAAAGGTGTCTCAGAGCGGCTTACAAACTCCTTTCCCTTCCCCTCCCCACAACAGACACCCTGTGAGGTGGGTGGGGCTGAGAGAGCTCTGACAGAAACGGCTCTTTTTCAAGAACAGCTGTGCCAGAACTGTGGCTTGCCCAAGGTCATCCAGCAGGTGCAAGCGGAGGAGTGGGGAGAATCAAACCCGGTTCTCCCAGATGAGAGTCTGCGCACTTAACCACGACACCATACTGGCAAAAGGCAGAAAGACCATTGGAGAAGGAAGATGACGACAGGGCACATGGGATGAGCATCTCATTGGTCATTCCAGTCGCATCATACTGGAGAGCCCCTGTCATCAAGATAGCTTCAGAGGGTAGCCCTGTTGGTCTGGTAAGACAGTGAGATTCGAGTCCCCAATGCACATGAAACAGCCTTATACGGAATCAGGCCCTTGGTCTGTCAAACTCAGTATTGTCTACTCAGACTGGCACCTGCTCTCCAGGGTCTCGGCGGAGGTCTTCCCTATCACCTACTGCCTGGTCCTTTCTAACTGGAGATGCCGGGGATTGAACCTGGGACCTCCTGCATGCCAAGCAGAGGCTCTGCCACTGAGCCACGGCCCCTCGTCACAGCTCTCCAGGGTCTCGGCGGAGGTCTTCCCTATCACCTACTGCCTGGTCCTTTCTAACTGGAGATGCCGGGGATTGAACCTGGGACCTTATGCATTCCAAGCAGAGGCTCTGCCACTGAGCCACAGCCCCTCTTTGCAGCTCTCCAGGGTCTCAGGCGGAGGTCTTTCCCATCACCTACTGCCTGGTCCTTTTTAACTGGAGATGCCGGGGATTGAACCTGGTACCTCCTGCATGCCAAGCAGAGGCTCTGCCACTGAGCCACGGCTCCTCTTTACAGCTCTCCAGGGTCTCAGGCTGAGGTCTTTCATATCACCTACTGCCTGTTCCTTTCTAACTGGAGATGACTGGGGACTGAACCTGGGACCTTCTGCATGCCAAGCAGACGCTCTGCCACTGAGCCACAGTTCCCCCAACCGCAGTAGTTGCATTCCTTTAAGGCTGATGATGAAGAAACTGACATTGTTCCGGAGTTTCTGTTTCTTGGCTCTGTCGTCAACCAAAAGGGAGACTGTGACCTAGAAATCAGAAGGAGATTGAGACTGGGAAGGGCAGCCAGGAAGGAGCTAGAAAAGATTCTTAAGTGTGAGGATGTGTCCTTGGCGACGAAGATCAAGTTAATTCATGTCATAGTATTCCCCGTTGCTGTGTGTGGGCGTGAAGGTCAGACAACAAAGAAAGCGGGCAGGAAGAAAGTGGATTCCTTTGAAATGTGGTGTCGGAGGAGAGTTTCATGGCTACCGTGGACTGCCGAAAAGACAAAGAAGTGGGTTCTAGATCAAATTAAGCCTGAACTCTGGAGGCTGAAATGACCCCTAAATGAGGCTATCGTACTTTGGTCACATCATGAGAAGACAGGACTGACCGGAAAAACAATAGTGCTAAGGAAACTTGAAGGCAGCAGGAAAAGAGGAAGACCCCCACCGGTGCTCCCTCCAAGCTGTGGAGTCCTGTGAGCAAAAATTCTACTTGGTGAGCCACTGGCATTCAAGTTGTGAGCAAGCAATTTGGCTACTGCATAAATCAGTTTGCTCTGGACTTGCAGTGTTCCCTCTAAGCTGAGTGAGTGTGAGCTAGCTCAGTTTTTTAGCCTCCGGCTCACAAATTTTTGTCTTCGCTCAGGCAGGGTGGCTCCAGAGCAAACTCACTGATGCAGCAGCCAAATGGCTCGCTCACAACTTTAATGTCAGTAGCTCAGAAAGTAGAATTCTTGCTCACAAGACTCCACCGCTTAGAGGGAACGTTGCTCTGGAGCCCTCCTTCCTGAGCTAAGACAAACCATGTGCGAGCCGGAGGCTAAAAAACTGTGAGCTGGCTCACACTAACTCAGCTTGGGGGGGGGGAACACTGGACCCCACATGAGATGGATTGACCCCATCAAGGAAGCAGAAGCCCTGGGTTTGCAAGACCTGAGTAAGGCTACCAGTCACCCAAACCCATACAGAGACTTCTGGGTCATATGGCTTCCACCACTGCGCTCACGTATGCATTAGGCCATATTGCGGAATTGGTTTATAAGGAACTTCAGCAGCAGTTCCGAACCTCAGTGGAGGAAACGATCTGTCCCGAGAGCCATTGCGAGGTCTCTCCCTTGGTGGTCCATATCAGAGAGGCCTCCTTAAGGGAAATCCCTCTCGGGGTCCAATCCCATGACTCCCACCTCTTCATCGACGTTTAACTGACAGATTGGGTTGCTCACGGTCAGGGACTAAAGGTGAACAACAGTTACAGGGAAGTGGAAGCCAGTGTGGTGTGGTGGTTAAGAGCAACAGTCTCTAATCTGGGAGAACCAGGTTCGGTTCCCCACTCCTCCTCCTCCTCATGAAGCCGGCTGGGTGACCTTGGGTCAGTCACAGTGCTCTCAGAACTCTGTAAGCCGCCCCCCCCCATAAATCTAGCTCACTGCCTGGCATGACACTAATGAGCTAGAGCTTAAGGCTGCCGGACAGTCTTCGGATCTCCCGGCTATATTGCATATGATGCCATGTGACAATTAATTCATTAGCAACCCCATTTTGTCTGTGCCTCAGACGTCCCCAGCAGTTGCCCGTCCGACTTTTGCTTGAACCTCTCCGAGGAAGGAGAAGAGGCTCTTGCTTCCCCAGACGGAGCTTAGGTGCGTTGTAGGTACTGCGCATAGCACCCGGAAACCTTCAGGTCTCGTTTTTTAAAGAAGAGAGGAGGAAGAGCATATTTCTTAGAACTGGCTGCGTGAAGAGAAAGTTTCACGAGGCCTCCTGACAAGGCTGACGCTTTGGTGTGTTTGCATTCTCTCGGGGCTACTTTGGGGCCGGGAAGGAACTTTCCCCCAGGCCGGATTCGCCCAGGGATCCTGGAGGTTCTTTGCTTTCCTCGAAATAGAAGCAGGGGTCCCTGGGGGAGTGGGAGAGTAGCAGTTTGGTGTAGTGAGTGCAGACTGTAATCTGGGAGAACTGGGCTTGATCCCCCCCTCCTCCCCACGCAGCTGCCGGTGTGACTTTGGGCCAGTCGCAAGTTCTCTCAGAGCTGTTCTCTCAAGAGGAGTCCTCTGAAGAGCTCTCTCAGCCCCACCGACCTCACAGGCAATGTTTCCTCTAAGCTGTATAGTCTTGTGAGCAGAAAATTCTACTTTGTAAGCTACTGGCATTAATGTTGTGAGCGACTGACCTTGCTCCTGCGTAAATTAGTTTGCTCTGGAGCCATCCTTCCTGAGCTAAGACAAAAACGTGTGAGCTGGAGGCTAACAAACTGTGAGCTAGCTCACACTAACTCAGCTTAGAGAGAACAGTGCTCACAAGGGTGTCTGTCATGGGGAGGGAAAGGGAAAGGAGATTGTAAGCCACTCTGAGACCCCTTTGGGTAGTGAAGAGTGGGGGTATAAATCCAACCTCTTCTCATCTCCTAGGTGTGAATTTCCTGAATCGTGCAGGGGGTTGAACTAGATGACCCTTGGGGGTACCTTCCAGCTCTATTTTTCTATGTCCTGGGTGCTGACACCTGTATTCCTGTTAGACTGACAGCAGCACATCACAACTCGAATGCATGCTAGGTCTTTCTTACAAGCAGGTGTACATATAAATAGGCAGGATGTGAGTGTGTTCACTGTAGCGTATATAAACGTATAACAAATAACGTATATAACATATAAATAGGCAGGATGTGAGTACGTTCTAACTGTAACGGGAACAGGGCTCCTAAGTGTCGCCATCCCACAGAACCTCCAAAGTTCTCTCGAAGTCACTGTCGTGCTCCTCCAGTTTGCGTTGCCGGCGGTTTCATCATCTCATTTCAATACGTTCCTAGTGTTTGAGGGCTTCGGGGCCAGTGGGTATTTTTCCCTGGCAGCTGCGGTGTTGTTTGCTTGCTCCGCCGTGGCAGCGTGAGGGGGGGGGTCTGCCCCCCCTCCCGTTACTTAGCACCCTCTTCTCTCCTGTTGCTCTCCGCCTTGTTTACCCGAGCCCTTCCGATTCCCCACAGGTGCGTAAGTACAAGAGCATGATCCTGGAAGACCTGGAGTCAGCGCTACTGGAACACGCACCTGCGCCCCAGGAGGTTAACTCCGAACTGCCCCCTCTCACCATCGATGGGATCCCGGTCTCCGTGGACAAGATGACCCAGGTAAGCCACCCGAAGGAAAGGGGGCGGCTCGGGGGAAAGGAATCGGCGGGAGCGCTGAAAACGTCTCGGGCTTGTTGATCTCTTCCCAGCAGAGATTCGTTTGCTCTCCGTCACAGGTACGCAGCTCCCGGGAGACGCGTTTAATTCCTTCTCTCCCGGGGGGTGTGGGGGGGAGCCAGGGTGACGCTGACAAATGGTCCTGGACAGGTGCGCATTAACACACACCGCCCGTGGGAGGATAACGAGCGCGGATCACAGTGTCAAAACCATTCTGACGCTTGAGTAGCTCTGGAGAGAAGCACAAAAACATTTCAGCCAGCTCGCACACGCCCAGTGTTGCTTCTTTGCTGGGCTGTGGCTCGATGCTGCCTGTCTAGCAAGATACTTGCCTGGAGGGGATGTGGAAAGTTGTATCTGTATGGTGGAGCTCGTCTGTTCATAGTAGCAGGACTGGGGTCTAAGCCCAGGCATTTTCTTTTTAATGTAATTTTTCTTTTAAAGACATAACAAACATAAAAGGGGGGGGGGATTTTCCTTTCAGTTTCTTCTTTGACAGAGTCATGCCTAATTTATCATACGTTTATATATTTCACCTTATATCATTAAGAATATCACTTGCAAATATATCAAGTATATATCAAGCCCAGGCATTTTCATGGCATTTCCGTGGGAGCATCTTCAGTTTCAGGACTGAGAAAAACCTTTGCTGGTCACCTCGCCCAGATGTAGTAAATGGGATAGATTAAAGTGTGGGATTTGTGGGCAGAGCAAGTAGTGATGGTCACAGGAACGAACAGGTTTGTTAGAATCAGAGTTGGAAGGGACCTCCAGGGTCATCTAGTCCAACCCCCCTGCACAAGGCAGGATATTCACAAATACCTCCCCACCACCACCTCCAGTGACCCCGGTTCCATTCCCAGAAGATGATAAAAAACCTCCAGGATCCCTGGCCAAACTGGCCTGGAGAATAATGGCTTCCTGATCCCAAAGCGGCGATCCGCATTTCCCTGGGCGGGTAAGAAAGGGCCATAAGAACTAAGCACTGGTGCAACCCCTCCTGCCCTCCCTCTCTTGATCTGTCCGAGTTCACAGGATCAGCATTGCTGTCAGAGGGCCACAAACTTGGGAGAAAACCTCCCAAGAAGGAGAGCCCGCCACCACCTCCCGAGGAAGCCTGTTCCACTGAGGAACCACTCTAACTGTCAGGAAGTTCTCCCTAATGTTTAGCTGAAAATTCTTCTGATTCAATTTCAACAGCGAGATGGCAGAGAAAGTGAATGAGTTCTTTGCATCTGTTTTTACTGTGGAAAATGTGAGGAGCCACTGTTTTTAGGGGAAGGGTCAAATTGAGGCGATAAGAGATGTTCTAGGACTACTAGGCAAATGGAAGAAAAAGTTAAGTTTGCTGGTGCAGATGGCATACACGTGAGGGTTCTTAAAAGGACTCAGACGTGAAAGTGCAAATCTTCCAACAAGTATATGTAACTTGTCAGTGCCAGTGCTCCCTCTAAGCTGTGGAGTCTTGTGAGCAAAAATTCTACTTTGTGAGCGACTGTCAGCAAGCTGCCATAGGGTGGTGTGTTCTTTTCTACATGTTACATTGTACTCGATCCATCCCCCCCGTATCTTCCTGTGTAGGTGTTTACTTTCTTTTGCTTGCTACATCTGCGGAACTGCTCAAGGTCAACCAGCTGGAGGTGGGATGGAGTTATGGCGTTGCTTTGCTTATTATGTATCTCATGCCTGAGAACTGAACTTGTGTTTATGTTGTAGAACTGTTGTGTTCCCAAGGAATTGGGCGCTAGTTTTATCTGCATTCCCGCCAGCGGGAATTGGATTCATTGGTCCTAACCTGGTTCAAGTTCCTTTATTATGTTCCCCTATGAGGTCTGTAGTCATTCCTAACAATCCTTGTGTTCCTGAGCTAACCATCGCTTTATAATAAATTTGACTTTGTTCTTCAAACGTGGATTTATTTCGAATGCATGGGGAATCGGACAGCGACTGGCATTAAAGCTGTGAGCGAGCGATTTGGCTAACTGCACACATCAGTCTGCTCTGGAGCCGTCCTTCCTGAGCTGAGACAAAAGTCTGTGAGCTGGCTCACACCGACTCAGTTTAGGGGGAACACTGTCTGAGAGCAATGCTCCCTCTAAGCTGTGGAGTCCTGTGAGCAAAAAGTCTACTTTGTGAGCTACTGGCATTAAAGTTGTGAGCCAGCGATTTGGCTGCTGCACACATCAGTCAGCTCTGGGGCCATCCGTCCTGAGCCAAGACAAAAACGTGTGAGCCGGAGGCTAAAAACCTGTGAGCTGGCTCACACCGACTCAGCTTAGAGGGAACACTGCCTGAGAGCAATGCTCCCTCTAAGCTGTGGAGTCCTGTGAGCAAAAATTCTACTTTGTGAGCTACTGGCATTAAAGTTACTCTGCCATCTCGCTGTCTTCCTCTAGCAATACATTTATTCCTTTGTCATCCAAAGGGCCAACCGCCTCCCTGGCTGGTTTTGTGCTCCTGATAGATTTGCAGAAATTTTTACTCTCTTTTTGCTCAATTTATAAAATGGGCGATATTGTAATACCCTCGTGTCAGGCTCCTTAGTCAGGTCAGACCACACACCCTCTGGCAGTGAATTCCACATCTGAATCCCTCTCTCTGTAAAGTGAAGATAGCTGTTTATTAGTGGCTCCAGTACTAAAGAACACGTGTACAGCTTGTGTCAGGAATGGCCATCAGTACTAGGCCTTATAGTGTACTGACTTATAGTGAAATCAGACATTCCCCCTGTAAGCATAAGACAATGGATATATTTTGCGCATGTGGAAAAGCAAGGGGGCAAAGCAGAAAAGCCGTTAACTTTCCCAGCCGTGTAAGCTGCAGCTGGGAACATCTACAAGGTCAAGCATAAGATAGCACACAGTAGCTGAGCAGGAGAAAGCTGAGAACGAGAAGGAGGGATACCCCTTCACAATCCAGATCTATGACAGGTCTACCTGACACCTTGTATGAAACTACAGCACAGCCTCATTTGGAATACTGTGTACAGTTCTGGTCACCGTATCTCAAAAAGGGCCGGAAAAAGTACAGAGGAGGGCGTCCAAGACAATGAGGGAATTGGAGCCCCTTCCCTGTGAAGGAAGGCTAGTCTGGGACTTTTCAGTTTTGAAAAGAGACAACTCATGGGAGACATGATAGAGGTTTATAACATTATGTCTGGGGTGGAGAGAGTTGGCAAAGAGAATTTCCCCCCCCCCTCCCAAAAGACTTGAACTCGAGAGCATCCAGTGAAGCTGATGGGCAGTAGGTTCAGGACAGACAAAAGGAAATACTACTTTACAGAGAGAGGGATTCAGATGTGGAATTCACTGCCAGAGGGTGTCGTGATGGCAACGGGAATAAACAGCTTTAAAAGGGAACTAGAGAGATTCAGTCTATTGATTTTTTAAAATTATCTATTTTTTTATTATTTTATTTCCTAATCCTAGAGGATAAGTCTATTGATGACTATTCGCCATGGTGACTGAGGGGAAACTCCACGATCAGAGGCAGTCAACTTCTGAATCCCAGTGCTGGGAGACAATCAGGGGAAGGCCTCGGCCTCCCTGCCCTGTTGTGGGCCCTCTAGAGGAACTGGTTGGCTCCTGTGTGAGGCAGGATGCTGGACTAGAGGGACCCTCACTGGTCTGACCCAACAGGGCTCTTCTGGTGTTCTTCTCAGGGGAAGGCCTCGGCCTCTCTGCCCTGTGGTTGGCCCTCCAGAGGAACTGGTTGGCCACTGTGTGAGGCAGGATGCTGGACTGGATGGACCCTCACTGGTCTGATCCAGCAGGACTCTTCTGATGTTCTTATCAGTGGAAGGCCTCAGCCTCCATGCCCCGTTGTTGGCCCTCCAGAGTAACTGGTTGGCCCCTGTGTGAAACAGGATGCTGGACTAGATGGACCCTCACCGGTCTGATCCAGCAGGACCCTTTTGAGGTTCTTATGAAGGCCTCGGCCTCTCTGCCCTGTTGTGGGCCCTCCAGAGGAACTGGCTGGCCCCTGTGTGAGACAGGATGCTGGACTGGATGGACCACTGGTCTGATCCAGCAAGCCTCTTCTGACGTTCTTATGAAGGCCTCGGCCTCTATGCCCTGTTGTTGGCCCTCCAGAGGAACTGGTTGGTCCCTGTGTGAGATGGGATGCTGGACTAGATGGACCCTCACTGGTCTCATCCAGCAGGGCTTTGCTTATGTTCTTATGGAGACCTTGGCCTCCCTGCCCTGTTGTTGGCCCTCCAAAGGAACTGGCTGACCGCTGTCTGAGACGGGATGCTGGACTAGATGGACCCTTACCGGTCTGACCCAGCAGGGCTGTTCTGATGTTCTTAGGAAGGCCTCGGCCTCTCTGCCCTGTTGTTGGCCAAACAGAGGAATTGGTTGGTCCCTGTGTGAGGCAGGATGCTGGACTAGATGGACCCTCACTGGCCTGATCCAGCAGGGCCCTCCTGATGTTCTTATGAGTCCATCCTCCAAAGGAGCTGTTTTCTGCAGGGGAATTGATCTCTGTAGACTGGAGAACAGTTCCATTTCTGGGGGATCGAGGGGATCACTAGGCCACACCTGGAGGTTGGCAACCCTTCCTTAGGGGATGACAGGTTGTGACTGAGGGCAGAGCCGGGCCAGACTCATCGCCAGGCTCTGCCTGCAGCTGGTGTTTGTTGGCTCTGCGGCTCTCGGGGCCCGAGGCGGCGGCGGAGGAGGAGAGCCGCGTTCTTGTCGGGGCGGTAACTGGAGAGGCCCTCGCGCTTGGGCTGGCAGAGCTGCTTTGCTCCCGTTGATTGCCTCCCCGGTGGTGCCTGCCAAGGCCCCGACAAGCGCCAGCAGTGGCTCGAGCCTCTCCGCTCCCGAGGACCGCTAATTAATCCATCTGGAAATGAGGCACGGAGCCGGCAGCCACCCGTCCTGGGCCGCCTTGGCTCTCCGTTGGCCAGTGGTTCGTATACCCACACACAGGAAACCAGATGCCTCGGGGAGCAGCAGGGTGGATGAGCAAACACACACCACGGGGCCACATCTGATCCTGATCTGGCTTGCGGGGGAATTAAGACCGCTGACATCAGCCCTTCAGGCGGTTGTCTTCTGAGCCTGCCCCGCAGGGAGGGTAGGGGGTATAAATTTCTTTGATGGTCCCGGTTAATGACAAAAGGAGATACTGAGTCCTTGTAAAAAAAGGTACATTTGGATGTTGAGTGGTTTGGTCAGGCTTGTTGTAAATTGGACAAAAAGAGCTATAGAGCCCACAATTTGGTGAAGTAGGAGCATGGACTCTAATCTGGGAGAACCGGGTTTGATTCCCCACTCCTCCACTTGCAGCTGCTGGTGTGACCTTGGGTCAGTGCCAAGTTCACTCAGAGCTGCTCTCTCTCTCTCTCTCTCTCTCTCTCTCTCTCTCTCTCTCTCTCTCTCGAGCAATTCTTGAAAGGGCTCCCTCAGCCCCACCTGCCTCACAGGGTGTCTGTTGTGGGGAAGGGAAGGGAAAGGAGATTGTAAGCCACTCTGAGACTCCTTTGGGTAGTGAAGGGCAGGCTATAAATCCAATCTCCTCCTCCTCCACCACCTTCTTCTTCTTCTTCTTTCCTCCTTAGCTTCTTCTTATTCCAATTCTTCCTCTTCCTTCTTCCTCCTCTTCTTGTTCCTCTTCTTCTTCTTCCTCTCCTTCCAAAGATTCAAACCACTCAGGAAGGCCTCAGACTTGAAATGTGGTTTTGTTTGGTTTACATGTATTTTATAAGCTTTGTACACGTACCTGGTCAAAGGAATGATGCTTGTAACTATGTGACATCCTGTTCTATACAGGTGCAATTTTGCTGAAATGGTTTTATATACATGAGGAAGGCACATATATAGAGGAGGGGCCTCACAGGCAGTGTTCCCTGTAAGCTGAGTCAGTGTGAGCCAGCTCACAGTTTTTTAGCCTCTGGCTCACACCTTTTTGTCTTCACTCAGGAAGGAGGGCTCC